GGTTTCCCTGTGTTTCCAGTTGCTATCTGTACCAATGTACATCCTCTGGTCTAGCCAGATTTGTAAGGCAGAATTGGGATCATGATAGTGGGAGGAAGCATTAAAGAACTAGAGGAACGTTGTATGTTTCATCAGTGCTATACTGCACCCTGACTGGCTTGTCTTCTCCCTGAGACCCTTTTGTAAGGGGATGTCCAGTTGCCTACAGATGGCCTTTGGGTCTCCACTCCATACTCCTCTTCATTCACAGTGATATGATTTGTTGTTCTTTGATGCCTGATATCTGATCCTAGGGACAGCTTGTGATCACACAGGCTGGTGTGCTTCTTCCATTGTGGGCTTTGTTGCTTCTCAGATATTGGGCTGTTAACCACCAGATCGGCAGTTCAAATCCCTAGCCGTTCCAGGGGGAGAAAGATGAGGCTTTCAACCTGGGAAACTCACAAGGGCAATCCTATTCTGTCCGGTAGGGTCATTCTAAGCCAGAATCGACTCGATGGCAGGGAGTTTGTTTTTATTAGGAATCTGATTTCCTAACGACTCCCAGGTGCTTCTCCGACTTCCCGGAAAGCCAGAAAGCTGCTGTGCTGACCACAGGCCTGGCACAAAGTAGATGCTCAGTTAAGACGGTCAGAATTGGGTCAGCTTTCCAATAAGCAAAGTAAGCATGAACTTTCTTGTGCTTACTTAATCTACAGTGAATAGTTCCAGATGGGTTTGGTGAACAACGTGTGAAGGTGTTTGGTGCAGATTAGTCACCAAGCACAAGTGGTTCCCCTGCTTACTGACGACTTCAACATCCCTGTCGGGGACTGTCAGTTGGGAAAAAGGCTTTGGTTTTGCGGGAACGGGCTGCGGGGCTGGGAGAGAGACAGCTGCCAACCAGCACTCACAGTAGAATCTTCAATGTAGCGGAAGAAGGTTCACCACTTATTTTGCTTATTGGGTACTCCCATGCTGGTCGGGATGGCGATTATAAACCCACCCCCATCCAATCAATTCTGACTCATGGGGACCTTATAGAGCAGAGTAGAACTGCCCCACAGGGTTTCCGAGGCTGGCAAGCTTTAAGGGAACAGACTGCTCGATCTTTCTTTCTTTCTGGGGAGCAGCTGGTGCATTCCAACTGCCGATCTCTCAATTAGCAGCCGAGGGCTCCCCACCCACAGAAGATCAAAGGTCCTATGGTTGCTGTGTGCAGCGGAGGCGATTCCAACTCACAGCAACCCTCGAAGGTGGAGTAGAACTGGGTACTAGTCTTGGCTGTGATCTTTAAGGCAACAAACCGCGGAGTCTGTTTGCCAACAGAACTGCTGGCAGGTTCAAAACACCGGCCTTTCAGTCAGCAGCCAAGCGCTTAACCATTGCACCACCAGGACCCCTACAAAGGCCACAGAGTGTTCTAGAATCCAAGGGAGCCCTGGAGAGATTCCTAGTGCAAGTCCTCAGAAGACAGTTGTTGGGAATTTGATGGGATCGAACCTCCTTCCATCCAGCCAGACTTCCCACACTAGAGGCAGGGCGACATAAAAAAATGACACTTCCCAGAATCCCTTGTGGCTACGGCTTGTTACTAGGATTAGGTACCTGCCGTCAGCTGCACTGACTTAGATGCCCTTCTGCTAATAAATCCCTTGCTAATTCCCATTAGATGCCCGGAGCCTTGGTGGGGTGTGGCAGATGGCTATGTTGACCCCAAGTGCTGTGCCCCCATCCCCACCACCACCCCCTACCACCACCACCTCCACCCCTTACCTCGATGCTCTTGCTCCACAGGGGTTGGTGAGACTCCAAGCTCCACAGATGTACCAACTTATCGTGTCCGCAGGTCACAAACTGGCCCCGGCTGGGGTGTGTGGCCAGCCCCCACAGCTCTTCCACGTGGCCCTGGCGGGAGGGGAAGGCATCACCACGGGGACCACCAATCCGGGCCTTTTCCCACCCAAACGCTGATACCAGGACGAAGTCCTGGGAGCGCACCTGTGGCCCCGGGAAGACCTGCTTCCCAAAGCTAGGAGAGCGTCCGCAGGTCAGTTCTCCTGGGAACCTCAGCTTCCCTTTGGGGACATTCGTGGGACTTGCCTCGCAAGTTACTGTGCCCACGCCACTCTTGAAAGACCCGCCGACAAAAGCCAGACGGAAGAGCGGCTCACCAGCTGGCTACGGCGGATCGGTGCTGCTAAACAGGGCGTGCGTTTCTGGCCACTGCGTCTGCGCACAGCCACCACCTGTCTACGGTGGAGAAAGAAGGGCGTGCTTCAGTGATATGGAACAGGTGTCGGCAGAGCTCCCAGATTTAAGACAGGTCAGTGGGGAAATGGCCTGGCTCTCTACTTTAAAAACAAAACACCAGCCAATGAAAACCTTATGGGAAAAAAAAAAAAATTAATTAAAAAACCCCAAAAAACTATGGGTCCCAGTCACAGCTGATCCTTCCTGGTGAGTGTTGGGCTCCGCTGTGCTAGTGTAACAGCAGCCACACGGTCCCTTCCAGCCTTTGCACGACTAGAACACCTCCCGCTAGGCTAGCCCCTGTCTGTCTTGGTCGTTCCCTCATCTCCTCATGGAGGCCACAGTCAGAGAGGAAGCGAAATGTGGCAGCATGGGTATCAGCCAGAGGCCAGACGGTCAGAGGGAGCCACTGGACCAGGAATGATTTTAGCTAATACCTTGCGAACACCTGCTCTGCGCTGGACACCATTCTGAATGCTTTATAGGAGCCCCCTAAACCCAGTTCTGATATCCTCCCCATTTAATAAGTGCACAGAGATGGCATTTACTTGCCCAATATCACACAGCTAATAAGCAACAAGGCTGGGATGGGAACCCAGGCAGGCATGGTCCTGAATTCATTCTTTTAAAAATATATAAAAATATGTGTATATATGTACATGTGTATATGTATACACACATATACTATATATAAATATGATATATACACATACTATATATACATACACATACACTCTGTGTGTGTGTGTGTGTGTGTGTGTGTGTGTGTGTGTGTATCCAGAACTTGTGTATGGTAGAAAACTACCCAAATCCTCCAGATTCCTTCTCCCTCAAATCTAAATATTGGTCCGAGTGGCTACAAAAGGAGGGGAAGTAACACAGAAGTGGCCTTGACATCTGTAATGACATACAAGTTTGTTTCAAACATTAAAAAATAAAATAAAAAAATAAAAATAAAATAAAATAAAGGGGGCGGAGATGGAGGTGGGGAAATGAGGAGCTGATACCAAGGGCTCAAGTAAAAAAATGTTTTGAGAATGATGCTGGCCACACATGTACAAATGTGTTTGACACAATGGATGGATGGATGGATTGTGATAAGAGTTGTATGAGCCCCCAATAAGATGATTTAAAAAATAAAATAAAATAGCAACAACAACAACAAAAAAACCCTATCAAAAAAATAAAATACAAATGTAGTTAAAATCTGTGAAACTGAAAAAAAAAATAATAATAATCTGTGAAACTGGTGGTTACTAGTTGGGCTGCTAACCCCGAGGTCAACAGTTCAAAGCCCATCAGCCGCTCCTTGGGGAAAAAGTTGAGGCTTTCTACACTCCCCACCCTCCTCCCCCGATCCTCGGAAAGAGTTACCATCCTGGCAGCTCAGAGGCAGTTCCAGCCTGCCATGTGGGGTGAGAATCAAGGGGACAAGTAGTCGGTCTGGTTTTGGTTTGGTATAAGGCAGACTCGTCAGAGCAAGAAAACGCAAATACCCCCCACTGAGCGCAATATAAAAGTGCTCCCTGCTGTCAGAAAACAGGATTGTGTTTTGGGTGCAAATGAGGTTCCCAGTTGGCAGTTTCTGCACAGATGGCTCAGGGCCATGAGTGGCATCTTCCACGGTAGTTTCTCCTTGTCTTTGGTGGCTCCGTTTCTGGGACTCTCCCGGCCACCTCCTATCTGTTCCTCTTTGCTTCGGCGCCCTTGTGGACGTTTGGGCTTTTTTTACAGGAGGCTTTGCACTCAGACTGTGGCCCTGATTTTGTGTCCACCCTGGGCTTCGACTAAGAGGTGACCTTGGGATAGCTTGGTGGGGGGAGTTTTAAGAGTATCTCGGGGCGTAAGTTGTATTTCTAACTACCCCACTAGGTGCTGTGGTTAGATCACTGGTTCTCAACCTTCCTCATGCCGCGACCCTTTCATACAGTTCCTCATGGTGTGGTGACCCCCTAACCATCAAATTATTTTCATTACTACTACTTTCATTTTGCTAGTGATGGATCGGGGGACCCCTGTGAGAGGGTCGTTCGACCCCCAAAGGGGTCGCGACCCACAGGTTGAGAACCGCTGGGTTAAAGCAATGGCTGCTAGCCAAAAAGATGACAGCTCAAACCCACCACATGGTTCCGAGGGAGAAAGATGTGGCAGTGTACTCCTGTCCAGATTCAGAGCTCTGGGAACCTGGTGGTAGAACCTAGTCTATCCTCTGGGGTTGCCAAGAGAAGGAGTTGATGCCACACCAGTGGACCATTAGAGGCCACCCTGCCTCAGTAGATGGGGGGTTTAAGTGGGGAGGAAGGAGTGGGCATATCAGCGGCATGGTGCTATACTAGCCATCCACATTGGACAGGGCCTTCCCAGCTCCCAGGAGCGGAATATCTAGCCAAGGTCTGTGGCCCAGGGGATTGGCAGCAGGCTTCGCATGCAGGTATGGGAGCTGGGCCCAGATTGGGGGGGAAGTAGGCAGCACAGAGAGAGCAGGGTCGTGGGGACCCTTGGTAGAGCTGGCAGTTAACTCTTTAGTTGCTGGAGCATGGGAAGCTTACAAGAGGAGGGTGGTGGGGTAGGGTAAGGCTACAGGCCACCGGAAGGTAAGTGTGCCAGGCCAAGAAAGAAGGGAGGACACTGGGGAGCAAAAGGAGGCTGGGATGCAGGGGAAGGAGGCAGGAGGGTGGCGGAAACACTCACCTGGACTAGCAGGGAGAAGCCCGTGTGGACGGAACCCTGCAGGATGCAGTTGCGGGTAGTGCCCACGTACCATGTGTCCCCTCGGCCCTCTGCCACAGTCCGAACGGGGCCAAAGTCCTCGGGGACCTGGGTGGGGCCGGGTGGGACAGACAGACACACACACACAGAGGTGGCATGGGGGTAAAAAAAACGATGTAGTGAGCAGGGTGGGGGAGCCTCCCCACCCTCATGTGGACCTGCTCCCTGTCCTCACCTCCACCTCCTGCAGCTTGCTGTAGTCGGAACCCCAGAGGACCACCCTTCGATCGCGGCCCCCGCCAGACACCAGCGTCCCGTCCCGCAGGGCGCAGAGCCCAAACACGCCACCATCATGGGCACCCAGCACCTCGTGGGTGATGCGATTCCCACCTGCAGGGGGGGCCAGGGCTAGGGTGAGCATGACGAAGTTGGTCTTGACATGCCCCCACGATACCCCCAACTCGAGTCTACATCCATCTTGCCTTCTCTCGCCTTCCAGCCTCCTGTCTTCTCTTCCAACCCCCGAGTCACCAAATCATTTGTGACTCAACTACTCAAATGCCCTAATATCCATCCACACTCACTCATCGGAGCTAACGTGCCCCCATCCAGCCATCTACCCTTGGATCCATCTATCATCTACTTATTTGTCCAAATGTCAATCAACTCATTCAGCATTTCATTGACTGTATCCATCCACCCATCTACTCATCTGCTCTCTCACCCATGCATTCGTCCAACCCCCCACCCCCACCCCCAATCAATCAGTCTTCTGAACTGGTCACCCATCTGTTTACGAGTCTACTCATTTATCTACAGGTCTATCCACCATTGCCTCATCCTTCCCTCCGTCACCTCTCATCTATTCATCGCCCCCCCCCCTTGTATCCAATTACCTATCCACCAGTCAGTGCATTCTCCCTTCATCTAAACGTCCACCCATTTTCTCATCCATGTAACCATTCATCCATCTACCAACCCATCTGCCACTGTGCCCAGCCACGCACTCATCCACGAGCCCACTGCTGACTCAATAAAGACTTCACTAGCATTTACTTTGGCCACGTCGCAGGCCGGCTGACACAAAGACCATCTAGCTCACACTGTGATGGGGTTCACGGTCCGGTGGCAGAGACAGATGGATGACCAGTCAGTGGTCACCTAAGGTCCTTACAGTGGAGCCACCCAAGAAGCTGTGGGATCCTAGAGAGGAGACTCCACCTGGGTGGGCCCAGAAGCTGGCTGAGCAAGGATCTTAAGGCTGAGTAGGAGTCGGTGAGGACAAGCGAGGTGAAAATGTGTTTGAGGCAGAAGGCCCTAAGACACAGGAGGAGGCTGGAGGGGAGACCTGGAGACGAGGAAGACAGAACCCATACCCAAGCCTCCACTGAATCGGTTCTGACTCACAGTGACGCTACAGGGCAGAGTAGAACTGCCTCATGGGGTTTCCAAGGTTGTAAATGGATGTAGACTGTCCGGTCTTTCTCCCACAGAGCAATCGATGGTTTTGAACCATGGACCTTTCAGTTTGACCGCTCAGCTCTTAATCCACTGTGTCACCTCTTCCATTCCCATCTTGCAGGGCCACTTCCTCCAAGCTAGCTGGGCTCTCTCCATTAGACGCAGAAACCCATCTTTTTGTCTCTCCCAGGCTAACACTCAGAAGTCCCAGTGGACCAGGCCAGTGGTGGGCCTGGGGCCACGGAAATGACTCAGATTAAGTCTCTGCCCTCGGACAGCTCACAGTTTGCTAGGAAAGACAGACGCACTGCCCTCCAAGCATTCAGAACTCATCCGCAGTTGCCTGATCTCCTTCTCGTGAGAGAGGGAACAGCAGTCTACCAGCTGTTATTCGCTCCTCTCCTTGGCGGAGACAACCATGAATTCATCAACACACTCACCCACCAGTGAGATTGGTCCATCCATCCATTCTTCTTCCAACCTCTGGCTAGGAAAACCCATTCACTCATTCATTTGTAGAGCCACCACTTAAGACAAGTCATTTCTTCATTAATAAGGTTGGCCAGGCTGTTGAGTAGGACAACCATTCATTCATTCATTTACCCACAATTCATCCATTGACCCATTCAACCATCCATCCATTCACCCTCTGGGAAAATCCACTCATTTGTAATTCGGACTTGGGATGTGTAGAGAACAAGGGCAGGGAATCGGGCAAGATTTCACGGAAGACAGGATATCGGAGCTCAACCTTGATGGACGGGATTGGGTTTGAACAATGGCTTTGTCAATCTCATCACGTAATACGAGCCAAGTTAGAGGGAGAGGGATAGTGGGGTTGGGGGTGATTGGATGGGGGATCAAATAGGGGAGGTGACACTGACCTTTGCCCCAGACATAGAGGTTCCCTCCAGAGTCCCCAGTGACCAAGTCACCCCCCTCCAGAAAGGTCACGCACAGCACATACTTCGGCTTCTCGTGTTTCTGAGTTGGAAGAGGAGAGGGGGTGTCCAAGGGTCCCTGAAGCAGTGGTGGCCTTCTAGAGCTCACCCATCGTCAGGACAGTGGTCCCAGGAATCCCCTCCTTGCCCCGTGGACCGTGCCCCGCTTCGATCAGCCTCTAGCAGGAGAGCGCGTCAGCTGCAGGGTTAGTACCACCCTCCTCTTCCACGTAAGTTAAGGTGACCAGACGTCCCACTTTTGGCGGGACAGTCCCGATTTTTAACAATTTTTCCCGTGTCCCGCGGCATTT